GCCAAAATGTGCTTTCACCCCTTTCTTCTGGGCTTCACTAGCAACATCGGAGTACTCACGAACCTTCTCGGACAACCAGCACTGCTTATCGACAAGCTTTTGCCACTCTTTGTCCAGTGCAGCTTGGGCATCAATGTTGCTGTTGATCTCCTTTTGTGATACGACTCTAGCAACAAGTGCGTACTGGAGCTGAGCGACCTCACAGAGCTTATCAAAGTACATTCGACTGAGCTTCTCGCGATGAGGTTCCTGGACCCTAGGTCCAACGGGCATTGCTGGGGCAGCATCCCTACGCTTTCTCTGTTCTTCGGCTTCTTCAAGTTCAACCTTCCTGCGATACCTTTCGATGTCGGCCTCACGCTGGGTCCTAGACATGGAGGCTACACTATACCGACACTATCCTCAACTTGAAGAAAGTGCAGCAAGTTTTCGTAGCACTCCTCAGCGTTCTTAGAAACGGCCGGGTAAACATACCTGAAGTTGGACCAGACATCCTTAACCACGAATGCAACCTTTTCCCCCTCGAACCCAAAGTCTCGGAAGTCCTTCGTGATGACATGGTCGATCGTGATGTGGTCCCCGAATTTCTTGGATGCGATAGTGCTCGATCCTCCCTTCTTTCGTGCATGAGGGGCCATCATTTTTGCCCTTTGGCACACTTTACAGAAAGGATTCTTGGGTCGATGGGTGAATTTGTGGGCAGCAGTCTCGGCTTCCAGCCTAAGTTTTTCGGAACCTCCTACGTCATCGGGCGCTTCATCGTGATCACTATCAGGTTCAGGTTCGGGATTGTCAGGTGGTCTTTCGAAGATCGAAATTGAGAGGATGGTCGGCTCTTCGAACTTAGCAACCTTTTGCGGAAGTTCTCTCATGTCGGCCTTGTTCTCGATCTTGGACCATTCGCCTCCCCTGAAAACCCAAGTTGTTCTGATCACGAAGCTAGGATGTCTCGACGCAGGAGTCCTGAAGGCTTTGGGTCTGTGTCCGATGATTACCTTACGGTGTTCTTCAGTTGCAGTCCAACCTGTTTTGCTTAGCTGTTCTTTGGAAATGGCGATCGGCGGCACCTTGGAAATTGCATCGCGGACCTCAGGATCAAGGTGCTTACCTGGGTCCTCGTCTTGTTCGTCTTCACCGGCGGGATGTTCATGCGCAGCACCGGCGAGCCCGCAAGGGCCGCTATCTACTGAAAAAGCGAGCTGCCCCCCTGGCTGAACACCGGGGAGACAATGTTACTCTCCTCTTCGATAGCTGGAGTGGCAACAGAGCCTTCTGCGATCACAGGGACCCTGCCTTTGAGTTTGCACTTCAGCTTCCTGCCGTCGGGAGTGACAAAGAAAGGGACCTTCCCCGCATGCCAGTGGAAGTCATAACCCTCATCCATGCATCTGCGCCCGACAGAGCAGACAGGAGGAGTGCTTTCTAGTAGATAACACTCAACTGGGAGGCTCAGTTCAGGGATATCGACTTTGACAGATTGATCCCCGAGTACTGGGCCATTTGCTGTGATTAGACTCACAGGCCTTGATGCAGTTTTGACCTCGACGCTCGGGTAGTGAATCCTCAGATCCTCCTTGCTAATGAGGTCTTCCTCGCTACCAGTGTCAGCTAGGAACTCTAGGCCGGGCACTATGCCTGAGCAGGCAGGTGCGGGGGTGCGTTCGCATGACTCACATGTCAGGTCTTCACACATGTAACCACACTTGGTAGGTACATCGTTCGTCATGCTGATCACCAATGCCTCAAGTTGCTTAGCTTCGATCCTGGCACGATTCTGTTCTTTCATGCTCGGCTTGGGGCAGTCCTCGGCGGTGGCGTAAGCCACGCTGAAACGACGTTTCCTCCTGATGTGCCTGAAGCCATCGCCTTCCACAGGAATGGCCTTCATGACAGGTTCATCACAGAAGGTTACCTTCAGTGGCTCTATCTTGAAAGTAGACTTGCCTACCCAAGCCCTAGAGGAGGGTTCCGGCGCAGTCTTCCTCCAGTTCCATGCCACTGCAGCAAAGCGAGGGTACTCTGGGAAGGTTTTCTCTACCCTAACCTTGCTCTTAAGTCGCCGGACATTGATCGGGCAGTCGCTGCCTGGTGCAAACCAGCCTGTTCTCTCCACGCGACGGTGTCTGATTAACACTCCACCCTTGAAGTCGACCTCCCATGTGTCCTCCAAGGGGCTTGGTTGCACAGCAGGTGCTGCGAGGCAACACGCTGCTGCCTTATCCCTGCTCTTAGACCTACCTCGGCTTTTCGGTCTCCTAGGAGCGGGCGAGGGGGATCTAGGCTTAGGATTAGTGGGATCAGGGGTGGCAGCAGCCGCCTTAGCTTTCGCAGCTGCGGCTGGCTTCTCCTGGTGGAGAAAACGACAGTTCTCGCCCTTGTTGCACTTCCCTTTCTTCCAGAAAGTACAGACACGCTGAATTCTACCTCCGATCTTTGGGGCTTTGTCAGGCTTCTTCGAGTTCGGTGACTGGGACCTAGTCTTGTGTAGGAAACTGCATTTGTCACCACGAGTACAGGTACCTTTCAGGAAGTCGTAGCACACTCCCTTCGGGCTGTTCGACCTCTTTGGGGAGCTGGCATTGCTACTTCGCGAGCGGCTCGTGCTCCTAGATGGCGATCTACCTCTCTCACGGCCACCTCGGCTTGAGGGGCGAGACGGGCGCGTCGGGGCAGGAGCCCCAAACTTGTCCCCGTGGGACTTGGCGATCCTGTCTCGGTTTTTCCTGACCCTTTCCCTGGTAAGCAAGTCCCTAATCGACTGCAAAAGGAAGGAGTAGGTGTGAGAGGTAGATCCCTCCTTGGCACGGTCGTAAATCTCTAAGTCATACTTCATGCGACTTGACTTCCTAATCTGTCTGAGCAGAATATCTCGTAGTACCATTTCATCAGGGACATGGCTCATTCCTGCAATGACACTCTCCCAGTTGTGAAGAAAAGATGTGAGGTCATCTCCGACCATGTTAACCTTCAAAAGGTCCTCAACTGAGTAGAGTGAGCCCACTTCTTCGTTGGTTTTGAAGTGTTGTTCGAAGAGGTAAAGAACCTGACGACCCCTCACGGATCTCTTTTGGGCGGCCTCGGTTTCCTTGAAGTTCAGGATGTGTCTACCGAGGTCTCCCTTTGCGACCTTACTGAGTGCAGCGAGCAGCTTCGTGTCGAGAGTCACAAACTTTCCTGGCTCTCTTAGCTTTTCGTGTGATGCGTTCTTGTCGTAGACTTCAAGGATCCACTCGAAAGCATCATCGGGTCTATCGCTGGCTGCACGAATAGCTTCACGGGTCGCAGTCTTCCATGACCTGTACGTTTCGGGATTTGGGAAGTCTGGCAACCTAATGCTCTCGGCTTCCTTCACCTTTGGCTTGTCGTCTTCAGTCCTCTCACCTTTCATGAGGCGGAGGTTTTCGAGGATTGCTGCCTGCGTTGCGAGCAGAGTCTCTGAGGTCAGACCAGTGGCCGGCATCCCGGTAACGGGTGCTGCAGGATTTCCTAGACCCGGAGGGGTCGTCAAGGGTCCTGCAGTGGTTCCTGCAGGCTGAGCTGAGCCAGCCGCATTCGCACTGACCGGTCCACCGATCGTCTGTCCTTCTGAGGGCGCTGCAGTTGCACCAGCTTGGGGCTGTTGTGCAGTTGTGTTACCTGGATTCATCTGGGCCAGGAGTCCTCGCACGCTAGAGCTCAACATGTTTGGCGTTACCACGTTCGGTGCAGAAGGCGCACTAGGAAACACAGGGGCTTGTTGTTGTTGCGACTCTTCTGCGAACCTAAGTGCCCTTTCAGTGGCCAACAGCTTGTCCTCAATTTCATCTTGCTGTTCTTTCGCAGCATCCAACATCGCATCGAATTCTTCCCTTTCGGTTCTTTGGTAGACCTGGAAGTTTTCTTCGAACTCCGAGAGGAGGAACTGCGATTGTTGTGCAGCAAAACTGTTGAGTTGTTGATGATACTGCTCTTGCATCCTTTGGGCGAGGAGCGCCTCTGATTGTGAAACGTTTTGCTCAATGCTTGTAAATCGGGCTTGCATTTCGTCGAGCTCTTCGATTAATCCAAGTTCCCTGGTGGCTGACCGTTGTTCGAACCTCGCGAATCGCTCTTCGCACGATGCCATTCGAGTAGCATGTACTCTTTCGGCGAGTTCCTCAAGGTTCGAAACACCTTGTTCATTTGCACGGGCCTGTTCTTCCATGGCCAGTGTGTGCCTTCTCTCCGCTTCAATCTCTAAGAAACTTAGCTCCGTCCTAAGACGTGCTCGGTTCTCATCATGAACATGAAACACATTCGTCTGCGAAAAGAAGTTCGCCGCCATGCTGAGGTTCCGACCATCATGCATGGACATGTTAGCGAAGTTCACTGCTTGAGGGTACGACTGTTGACCTAGGTGCGTCTCTGGTGCCCCTGCTCGGCTTCCCGTTGCCGGGAGCAGCAGAGGTAGTCCTGTACGTTCTGTAGCTGCTTCTTCGGCAGGTACAAGTTCAGGTGAAGCACTCTCCAGGTTCGCATCCGCAAGCATTGTAGGCTATACGGCTGATAACCTATAGTTATCAGGGAAACTCCAAGGTGTAATCACAAGCACTGAGTTGATAATACCGTTAAGCCATGCAGGAGCGAACGCTCTATTTTCTACTGCAGAGGGCTTGCGAGGTAATGCAACGGGACGATATGCACATGATGTTAAAATGCAAGGGTTATCGCAATGCAAAATTACAGGGATAGTAACCCCTCTCGCCAAACTCAAAACCCTAAACCCCAAACCCTAAACCCGAATACCGTATACCCTAATACCCTAGTACCCTAATACCCTGACCCCACACCCTATAAACCTTCATCCCTGTGCCTAGGACCCCGATCCCTCAAATCCACACGGGCCCAACGTGCCGTCCGCTAAAGGCCAAACCTAACCCTAAACCCTAAACCATAAACCCCAAACCCTAAACCCTCGACCCTAAACCCTAAACCCTAAGACCCCACCCCACCCACCCCAATGAGGGGAACAGCCAGGTGGCCGAAGAGCTTGAACGTGTCCTGGCACGGTTTAGGGGTGAGGGTTCAGGGTTTTAGGGCCTTCTGGGCTAACCCTAAACCCTAAACCCTAAACCCTAAACCCCTGAAATGGGCTTTGCGTTTTTTAAGGGTGCTCTATAGGGGGTTAATTCTATCAGAGCCTTTCGGCGCCGGGGGAGGGAGAGCTTTAGGGCTTCGGGTGAATAGGGCTTGGGGGCTCTGATTCAGCCTAAGACCTATAAACCCCAAACCCTGAACCCTACATGGGTAAACCCTAAACACTAAACCCTAAACCCTAAACCCCAGACCCTCGCAGTCGTGCCCTGAAAGCGTTCGCTTGCCCTGCCGATGCGCCTCGCATTCGATGTGCCCCCAGCCTCGGGATTTTGGGGCTGTGTGTGGGCTTCAGGCCTGCTTGTTGTGTTGGTTTGTGCTTAGTTTAGGGTTTAGGGTTTAGGGTTTAGGGTTTGGGGTTTGGAGTTTAGGGTTTAGGGTTACTTGGGGTGAGCTTTTAAGCAGGCGAAGGCGATTGTAGGGTTTGGAGTGTGTAGGTTTTGCAGAAGCTGGGGGTCTAGGGATTTGAGGGTCTTCAGGGCTTCAGTTTCTGCTTCCCTGTGGTGTTGCTTGGGCATTTTCTCGCTGGAGAACCAATGTCATCGCCGTGCTTGTGGCAATGGTCACCTCTAAACGCTAAACCCTAAACCCCAAGTCTAATCCCTATAGACCCTAAACCCTAAACCCTAAACCCTACATAGCGCACCGCGTGCTTTTTTGCTTCGCACCATCCTCGATGGCTTTGACATCGGCCGCGCCAAGGCTTTGGATTCTCCACGGTTGTGGAACGGCTTAGTTTAGGGTTTAGGGTTAGGGTTTAGGGTTTAGGGTTTATGGGTTTAGGGTTTAGGGTTTAGGGTTTAGGGTTTAGGGTTTAGGGTTTAGGGTTTAGGATTTAGGGGGTTTAGGGTTTAGCGTTTAGGGCTTAGGGGTCAGGGCTGAGGGTTTTTGGCCTGCTTTCTACTGTTTATGGTTCTAGGTACATGGCTCAATTCGACCGAGAATGCTCAGCGGTGCTGAAACCCAATGCAAACTTGGAGAACATGCGATGACTCAAAGAACTGTTTTCTAAACCCTAAACCCTAAACCCTAAACCCTAAACCCTGAACCCTAAACCCTAAACCCTAAACCCTGAACCCTAAACCCGGAAATGTCACAAATAGGCCCATGCTCTGATTCGCTCGCTTGCAGACTTAGCATGACTCGGAGCACGAATGTGCAAAAACCTCCAAACCGCCATGAAGCCTCACTGAGTCGCTCCGCAACACACCCAGCACCGAATTAGGGTTTAGGGTTTAGGGTTTAGGGTTTAGGGTTTAGGGTTTAGGGTTTAGGGTTTAGGGTTTAGGGTTTAGGCCTACACCCAAAACTGTGAACCCTAAACAATCCAAACCCCCAAACATTGAAACTCACACCAAGAAGACGAACTGCAAGTCATCTTCCCTCTCAGGTCCTTACCCTTGGCGGGGTTGAAGGACTTCACCACCCCAACATACGGCCTGGGACTTGCACAAGCATGATGCCAGATGCCGGTGCCTTTGAGGCTCCGTGGGGCTTATTTACGAACTAGGTTTAGGATTTAGTAGGGCCCCGTAGCCTAAGAAAAACGAAACCTTTGGTCTGTGTTGGAGAGAGCTTTTGTTCCCCACCGGTAAACTAAAGGGTCACACAGCCAGCCTGAAACAAAAGGGAAGAAAGGGTCCCCCCTAAACCCTAAACCTTCAACCCTTCAACCCTTCAACCCTTCAACCCTTCAACCCTTCAACCCTTCAACCCTTCAACCCCTCAACCCTTCAACCCTTCAACCCTTCAACCCTTCAACCCTTCAACCCTTCAACCCTTCAACCCTTCAACCCTGCAACCCTTCAACCCTCAACCCTAAACCCCCTAAACCCTAAACCTCTAGACCAGGGCCCCGAGAACGCCCTAAACTTGAAACCCGAAGCCCCTGGACCCAAAAACATGAAGCCCCTATAGAGCGCCCAAAGCTCTAAACACCTGAGCCATCTCAAGCCTCAGTCGGGCACACCCCAACCCCTAAACCCTAAACCCTAAACCCTAAACCCTAAACCCTAAACCCTAAACCCTAAACCCTAAACCCTAAACCCTAAACCCTCAACCCAACGCCGCCCCCGTGTACCCCACGCGCCCGAGCCCCCGCGCGTCGTGGCGGTCGGTACTGCCGGAGGAGGAGCAGCCATGGCAGCGGCTCCAGGGCTTGGGGGGTTTAGGGTTTAGGGTTTAGGGTTTAGGGTTTAGGGTTTAGGGTTTAGGGTTTAGGGTGTTTCGGGTTTCGGGTTTTGAGTGTTTAGGGTTTAGGGTTTCGGGTGTTTAGGGCGGCGCCGTTAAAAGCCCTTATGCTCGGAGGTCCATGGGTAGCGATATGTGCGCTACCAGTACCGTGCGCCCCGAACAGAATCAAGCTCGAACTCTATAACTTCTTGTGATCGGGTTTAGGGTTTAGGGTTTAGGGTTTAGGGTTCTAAACTTGCCCAACAGTACCAGGGCTTCTTCCGTGGCTTTGGGACTGCAAGGTGTGAAGCCATCATGTGAGTGCTTAGGGCGTAGAGGGCCGTGCAGGGTTCAAGCTAATCGTATCAACGCTCCACGCGCGCCTCTGCGCTTTGGATGCTTGGTGGCTTCTGGGTGCAGTCGTGTGAAGTAGAGGTCTCTGTCTAGTCAATGCTAGTATCCCCAAAAGGGCGCCCCACGGAGATAACTCACCAAAACCGTTATGAACAATTCTACCTCGCACGGCTTAGGGTTCAGGGTTGGGCGGATCTCCTGACCAGCTCAAGCAACCAGAAGCTCCGAACCATGCATGTAGCAGCCGCACGCCTATGATTTCAGCTTGGCATTCGGGCGAGTTTGATGCGCGTGTGTTCGGGGCTGTTCGATACAAAGTGTAAGATGCAAACCATGAATGCAACTAGTCGACATCTCCTTCTTGCTTAAAACCACCCAAAAACACAAGAGAACAGTCCCTATATTCCCCCTGTATAAAGAAGAATTGGGAGGGTTCTTGAGGAAATAGTTGTTTTAGGATCCGAGAGATTCTCGGTACTGGCTTAAGCTTCTCAGTCGTACATTCTCAATGCTTTGCTAGCGTGTAGGAGCTGGACTAGCAGGTGATGCCTAACATGGGGTCCGGTAAAGCTTGGGGTTCACAGAGTTGATAGGGTTCATGCAAGGTTTGTCAGGAGCTATTTATGGGGTTCCTAGGGTTTATATGGGTATATAAGTAAGGTTAGAGGGTTCAGAGCTGTAGGGGTGACAGCACAGTTCTCCCCAGTGACAGCACAGTTCTCCCCAGGGGCCGGGCAGCCTCCAAGTAATTGCAGAAGCGGTCCTGACGCACCGGAATCTGCGATCACATCTCTCCCTAAACCCTAAACCCTTTTGGGTTTATATATGAGAAGTTCCCTAAGCCAGTTTCGCGTGTTGGGTCCCTATATAGTATGGCACCTTTTTGGTCCACCAGAAGGGGCCGTGAGTTAGAGAACTACCCAGAAAGGGTTTGGGGTGTGTTGGAGTCCATGTATTAGGTCGAGCTTAGTAGTAACTTCATACCTTGTAGGTTGGCCTACTGAATTGACGGACATTCAAGGTTTAGGGTTTAGGGTTTCGGCTGATTTCGGCTGATCGATGTCTTCACGTCAGGAAGAGCTACGGCTAGGGCTGTTTTCTGGAAGTGGCTATTGCAATCAGCCCAAAGGCTACGATCGGGAAAACACACGGCAGAGGCTGTTAAGAAAAGGCTTAGGGGGTCCGATCTTGAACCCTATAAACCCTCAACCCGAAACCCTCAACCCTAAATCATAAAACCCCAAACCATAAAACCGAAGCCCTAAACCCTAAACCCTAAACCCCAGGCCCCAAACCCCAAACCTAAACCCCTAAACCCTAAACCCTACATTTCTAAACCCTAAACCGAGGAGGCGGAACCAGGTCTGTCCTGCTTGTCCACCATGAAAATGCGACCTCGGGCCACACGAAAGCCCAGAAACGCGGCTCGGCTCGAGGGCCAAGGTAGAATTAGGGTTTAAATTGGGGTAGAATCAAGGGACTAAAGGAGGAACCCTTGTAGACCTTAGGGGTTTGTTTACTTAGTTGATGGGTTCATAGGCCCCCCCCCCAAAAAATGTACACTTTCAGTTCTATAGGGGATTAGAGTATCCCAACAGGTGTATAGTGTACTCACTCAGCTGCTAAGTTTAGGTGTCATTCAGGGGCTACTTAGGTATATAGGGACTAGATAATGTGGATAAAAAAAGGGGGTATATCGGAAAGAAGGACTCATCTTCAGACAAGCCGATGCTCTGAGTCCTAAACCCGAATCCGCAGATAAGATCGGAATGCTGAACCCTAAACCCTCAAAGCCAAAACTCTGAACTCACCACCCGAAATCCCTGAGTTTAGGGTTTAGGGTTTAGGGTTTAGGGTTTAGGGTTTAGGGTTTAGGGTTTAGGGTTTAGGGCTCAGCCCTCAACCCCAACACCCTGCAACCCGGAAACCAACACCCTAAACCGCAACCCCATCCATCCCGAATCTTAACCCCCTCCCCCGACAGTTTTACTCGCAAGTCTCCGCTCAGCGGCAGCCGTGATGGGAAATCCGGCACAGGAGCTCGCCGATGAAGAAGCTAAGGCAGATCTGACGTCAGGGTTTTCGGTGTAGGTTCGGGGCGACTCAGGGCTTCCCTAGTTACCCCAACCCCCCCCTAAACCCTAAACCCTAAACCCTAACCCTAAACCCTAAACCCTACACCCTACACCCTACACCCTAAACCCTACCTTCTCATGCATTTCCACGCTGGTCGGCGCACCACGGTGGAATGAGGCCAGGGATGGCACTTAAAACCCGCTGAAAGATAGTATTCCAGAACATGACCCTCTAACATATTCCTGAATCCTAAACCCTAAGCCCTAAACCATACAGGAAAATGAAAAACATGTCCCTTCAGGGCCTACCTAGAAGCAGGCTGCACAGAGGATTGTGGGCCCAAGCCTTCTGTCAGCTTGGAAGTGGCAACGGTCTTTAGGGTTTAGGGTTTAGGGTTTAGGGTTTAGGGTTTAGAGTTTCTTGCACAGCTTCTCTCTACACGCTCCCCATAGATCAGCCCCTCCCCACACCCCCAAACTCTCCAAGCTTGGCGTTAAAACCCCTTTGTAAGCCCCCTGAACCCTCTGACTAACCCTAAACATCAAAGCCTAAACCCTAAACCCTACACCCTATTTAAACAGGAAAGAACGTTTGCCATGCTTGGTCGGCATCTTCTCTTCTTCTCAACGTGCCCGAAACCCTGACCCTGCGAAACTCCGAACCCTAAACCCTACAACTCAAAAACCCAAAACCCAAAAACCCTAAAACCCTAAAACTCAAAAACTCAAAAACCCTGAACCCTAAACCTTAACCCTAAGCCCTAAACCCTAAAGGTGTTCCAGCTGAGCCCATCCTCGTCCAGCAGCTGGCAAACGTCATGGGCGCCGGGGACAGCCACCTGTCCGTCTTCGCCCTAAGTCTCAAAATCTACAACCCTAAACCCTAAACCCTGAACCCTATAGACCCTAAACCCTAAACCCTAATCCCGAAAAAAAACCTTTAAATCCTCAAAGCCCTGAACCCCAATTCAGTGTCAACTAAGCACTGCCCTACAAAAAACAACCACGAGACATCCCAAGAACCCTGAACACCAACTAGCTCCTACTGAGCCAACCATTGGACAACCCTAAACCCCATACCCTGAGCCCTAAGCCCTAAGCTCTACCCCTTACACACCAACCGACTCATACTGAGCCCCGAAAGACCCAAGACTAGCCTAGGAATAAGAAGGGTGCCCTTCTCGGTTACAAGAGGCCCATATATATGGCCTCTGTAGGCAGATGAAAGGACGCTACCTTGTAGTAGACTACTTCCCCCCCTTCCCCCCGCCACACTGGCTGGTAAGCTTGCAGTTGCCCTTGTGCGACCAAGGTTTAGGGTTGACAGGAATAGGGGGTTTAGGGGGGTTTAGAGGGGCTTCGGGGGGGGTTTCTGGGGGTTATGGGGGTTTAGGGGGATTTAGGGGGTTTAGGGTTGCAGGGTTTAGGGTTAAGGGTGTCGGGGGCTTAGTGGGTTTTTAGGGGACCCGGCGTTGCGGAAGTTCGGATGGCTCAGGGGTTAGGGCTTAATGTTAATTATGCAAATAAGATTTTCGAATGAAAATGAAAATATTACTGAAAAATTCTAAGACTACTGACAATGCTAACAATCATCCTAATACTACGAACAATGCCAATACTACTAAGAACGATACATTATTACAAATAATGCTAATATTACTAATAATACTAATAATACTAATAATACTAATACTAATACTAATAATACTAATAATAATAATACTAATAATACTAATAATACTAATACTACTACTAATACTAATAATACTAATAATACTAATACATACTAATAATACTAATACTACTAAATAATACTACTAATAATATAAAAATAATACTACTACTAATAATACTAATATATAATCATAATACTAATACTAATAATAAGAATAATATAATAATACTAATTATACTAATACTAATACTAATAATACTAATAATACTAATAAGACTAATACTAATATACTACTAATAATACTACTAATAATACTACCTAATAATACTATAATAATACTAAACTAATAAATAATAATACTAATATACTATAATACTAATAATACTAATACTGCTAATGATACTAGTTAATACTAACAATTCTAATAAGTCTAATAATTCGAATAATACTAATCACAGGCCTCGCTAGGTCGTTCTTTGGATTTTGTTAGGGATCCCGTAGCCCTTTGAAAGGCCGGGCGACAGCTGACAGCAAAAGCCTTTGCGCAACCGCGCCTCCAGGGACACGACCACCATGTTCAAGAAGAGCATGCCGGCCACCACGACCTTGAAGGCGAAGTCTTAAGGGTAGCTACATGGTCCCTTAACATTATAGGTTCAGGTTCAGGGTTTAGGGTTTAGGGTTTAGGGTTCCTTGTAGACCCCTTCTATGCCCTATAAAACCTAAAGGGCCCATCCTCCAGCATCCTATAAGGAAGGTAAGGGACCATAAGTCAGGGAAAATACCCCCAACACTCAACTAGGAAGATACGCGGCGGCCGGGACAACGAGCCATACTCAACATGTCCTTATAGCCCCTTCCGATG